CAACATGGCAAAATGAACCTCCCCCACCCTCATTCGGATCTGGCCTTTGGAACTATTTTGGTCTTCATGTGAAGTATGACCCTGAAGATAAGCGCGTCATGGACACATGTAAAACAGTATGTCGGATATGCCACACAATGCTCAATTACATGGGTGGGAACTACTGCGTTAGCGCAGTTTGCCCGTTTTATATATATACATATATATACACACACACATATATACTAGGGGTGCAACGATATTCGTATCGATATTGAACCGTTCGATACAGTGCTTTCGGTTCGGTACGCATATGTATCGAACAATACAACATTTGTAATTTATTTTATCAACTTTCCTTCTGACGATGCTGTCTGTGTTGAGCGCTCAGTGAATCTGTGTTCGACTACTCCGCCTAGGCTGCACTGTCAAGCGCAGATCCACTGAGCGCTCAACACAGACAGCATAGTCAGAAGGAAGAGCACAGGGCAAGCTAGCAAGACAGAAGTTAAGCTCTCCTTGCAACATGGACCTCCCCCACCCTCATTCAGATCTGGCGTTTGGAATTATTTTGGTTTTCATGTGACGTATGACCCTGAAGGTAAGCGAGTCATGGACTAAAGTAAAACAGTATGTTGGATGTGCCATGCAATGCTCAATTACATGGGTGGGAACTAGTGTGTTAGCGCAGTTAGCTCGTTAACGTGTTGGCCGTCTAGCCCCATGCACGGGGCGATCGGCGGTAGCTCGTTAACGGAGATTTGCCGTGTTGTGGCGTTAAGGTCATTTCAACGAGATTAACCTGAAAGCACTAGTGGGAACACAACGAATATGACTGCACATTTACGCCGACATCATCCTAGTGCAAAGACAAAAACAACAAGCATGCTACTAACTTTAGCCGAGTCATTTAGACAGCTGTTGGCACATGATTCTCCTTATGCTGCTGAGAATATAGCCCAGAAGAAGCGGATAGTATAGCTTTTATTTTGGAAAGAGACATTTCTCTGTAATAAACTCTCTTTTCCAAAGATGAGTGATTCCTCAATCAGATACAGGGCTTGCAATATCGCTAGCCCGGCGTCCTGGGGCTAGCGATTTTTTCAGTCGGGCTACCAAAATCTATCTCTTCCCTGCCCGTCGGGCTATTGTAGGAAGGAAAAATATATGTCAATGCTTTTGCATTCTTTCAGAAATGTAGCTGGGTAATTATGTCATTGGCATCGGTGAGCCACTCGCGTTTGAATTTGCGCTTGTTTTTTTGCTTTCACTTTGCAATCGTGCGAACTGTGTATAGAGAGCGACAGCACTGATCTGTGAGTGATGATAATTTGTGCACCAATTCCTCTGACATCGTCTTATTAATCGTTAGCTTACTATGCAAACATGACAAGTGAAATCTCCCGCAGCAAGCTTAAACATGTGAGAGGTTGATCGCGCAGAGAATCGCTGAGCTTATGTGAGTGCGTGTGTAAAAGCAGCAGGATATATATTTTAGTTCTGCTGAGCCAAATAAGACAGGTCAGGGTGAAGAAGTGACAGCCAAAGAAAAGCTTACCACAAAACGGAGAAGTTATGACAAATCAGACTATAAGGCAAAAAGAAAGTGCAGCTTTATGGTTTCATGGACAAAATAATTTCTGTGGCTGCAATATGACGAGCTAAATAACCAGGGCTGCACATAAGTGGTCCGCAGGTGCGCATTCGCTGTCAAAATAAAAAACACGCACAAGGGTTAGGGTTAAATTTAAAAACTGTACTTTTGAGTTAAAATATATATTTATAATTTTAATAAATGACAAATTAAAAAGGCATGAACATTTTTTTTGTATCGAAAAAATATCGAACCGTGACACCAAAGTATCGAACCGAACCGAACCGTGAATTTTGTGTATCGTTGCACCCCTAATATATACATACACATATATCAGGGGTCTAGAGTGCGACCAAATTTTTCAGTGGTGCGACTAAAAAAAAATATTTGGTTGCACCTGTGCGACCAAATGTTCGGGTAGCAAAAAAAAAAAAAAAAACTGCAACCTTCCCTGTGGTCAACAACAGACACACATTTTGCCCCTATCGTGGACTAAACCAATCAGAGATAGTAAGGGGCGGGACCTCTCTGATTGGCCGTGGTCCACTTGAAAGTGCAGGTGGAAGTGGGAGGAGAGTAGCTTGAATAAAGCGATATCAATTCATTAAATCCTGAATCGACTTTTAAATATAACTGTGTTTTGCCAGAAACGCCAGATTCTCAGATTAAAGCTCACAAAACTATTTCAACAACAACCAAACAGCAAATGAGAGCAGGTACACGGATTCCACACAAAGACGTAAACACAGAACGGGCCCCTGACGTATCAGAATCAGCTTTGTCTTTCTTGGCTTTCTCACCCGACCGCCCGTAGACGGACACGCTGTCGGAGCTTAGTGATCCTGATGCGTCCGGTCCGCGCTGCGATTACGTCTTTTTGCGCTGATTCTGAGCTGCAGGTTTTGTCTCTCTCCAACCAAAATTCACTGAGCCAGCAGCGAAAGAAGCAGCAAACTGCGCTTCACTTTGATCAATGTCGTCATGAATTTTGCTGTTTTGCTTCCACGACTATTAAAATCACACTTCATGCACAGCTAGCTCTCTCTCTCTCTCTCTCTGTACTTCAAGAACAGTTTCCCGTCTCCAATCTCTGTTTTCTGTATTATTCATTCGCTTATTACCCACCAGTCTACCGTTGTTTACAGCGCTGTCGGCTGCTGTCTTTTTCTTTTCTTTTTTCACTTAAATGACCTCGGACAAGAAAGCCTATTTTTTTCTGTTGTTCAATACTGAAGAAATTTAAACTTTATATGCAGAACATTGTAGAATATTTTTAAGGTTATCTGCTATAAAAAGCCAGACCAGGAAAATCTCCTTCATGTTTTTCTGTGTTTTATTCTTAGTTACTTTCACACAAAGGCATCTGCTGTGATGTTCACAATTCTGATGAAGTCAGTACTGATAAATGATCAGAATTATAATATTTCTGACTCTTCTGGCTAAGTTGAATCGAATCGGGACTTTGAAAACCGGAATCGAATGGATTATAGAAATCAGTGATGATACCCAGCCCTAGTGAGCCACCTAGCCACGACAGAAGTGGATGTAGCTGTAATAGGAAAAGAACTATTGCTAACTTTTCTGTTAAGTTAAGGCCTGATCCTTCTGAAATTCATAGCCAGTGCTCTGACATGGTGTCATCAATCTTTGAATGCTGAAAAAGCACAGTGTATCCAGAAAAACACATTATATTATATAAATTATTATAAAATTTGTGTGCGCCTAACGCCTAACCGGTACGCCCATGGCAAAAAGTTAGTCTAGAGCTCTGTATATACACACATATACACACACACACACACACACACACACACACACACACACACACAGTAGAGTATCAATTATTACACAGATAGTGAGTATAGGACCTTTTTTCCTATCAGACTCAACAATTTGGGCTGCAAAGGGATGACATACTGTGTAGCAGCATGAAAACAGTGAGCGTATGCTGGCCTCCCACATGCTACCACTTGTACAGTTGAAAATGCAGAGACGTCTTTCTTCTTTCTTCCCCCTGCGGTCTACATATTAATTGTAACTTTTCCTGTAGTAAATCACTGTCAAGCTCTAGAACAAAGACTTAAAGTGTGATCATATAGAATCTTAGATCTCTTAAATTGTTTTATTTTGGATTAGAAGACCTTAGTTTGATGTACCCCTGAAAACATTTTCTTATGCTGGCCAAACAGCATTTAGATCAATGAACTGAGATGATAAACAAATGAGAGACGACACCGAAAAGTGTGTTAATGTTCAGCCTCCCTTGCATTTGTCTTGCGTCCAAAGTTTCTCCGTTTCAAACCAAGAGGACATCACAGATGACAAATTGACAACAGCTGCAACTGTAAGACAAGAATTCAGAAACCGCCGCTTTTATTAGAAACGACTGAAGTGAATGATGCGAAGTGAATAATGATCTTCTGTGGATGGCTCCCGCCTCAATATTTCACAGTAAGTGATGATCTCCTAAACATAAAGGGTGTCGTTGAATCCATATTTCATTGGAGAACAATGCAGTGTTACTGACATACACAAGCAGGAAATGTGCTTACAAAGCATCAAAAGAACTGTCGCACAGTATGGATGGCTGCAGAATAATATAGGGCACTGCTGGATGGATGTAACAAGCTTCACAGCTACACGCATCATTTGATCACATAATACAAAAGGTAGTGTGTGCGTCCGTGTGTACGACATGCATCATTTGATCAGGTAATACAAAGCTTTGGTGCTTGTGTTTGTGCACAAGTTTGCCTGGCATGCATCATTTGCCTATATACTACAAAGCTGCAATATGCTGTGAGTGTATGTGTGTGCGTGCATGTAATATGCATCAACTAGGGAAGAAAAAGTCTGAGTGCATGCTTGTATCTGTTTGTCTACAAAATGTGTGACATGCATCATTTACTTAGATAATACAAAGCCTGCGTGTATGTAGGCTACTAGCAGTTGTATATCTAACAAGAGGGCTTTTTGAATAAGAGAGCGATGAGTCCTGTCAGTTCTAAAGCATGCGCACGCACACACACACGCACGCACAAACAGAGACGCACACATGCTGACTTTCTGCTAAATTAAGCACAGGACGACCCTACAGACAAGACATCAGACAGCAGAGGCATTTTCTGACACACACAACTTTTGACACAAGCCCATAAACAAGCTAAGTGAGTGACTAGAAATAAATATGCACAGGGTGCACACACACACACAAATACAGACATCCTGGTGGAGACACGTCCCAGTGAAGCGCCACATAAATTGGGGCATGCATTATTAACTGTCTGGGGTTTTTAGAGCTTGCACTGGGACAGCTGTAGGTCCAAACAGCCTGACATTAGAGAGCAACACAGGGAAACTCTATGCATGACAACAACCGAGCAATCAATAATTCAATGACTCAGTCAATCAATCAACACTTTGGCAATTTTACTCATGGCAAATGGATTTTATCCTTTATTTAACAATTCTGGATGGTTGGGACAACAACCCCCCCAAAAAAATCTAAGTATAGAGAGTTGTATTGGAGGGTAATTACACTGTTATAGAAAGGGAGGAAAACTAAAACAAAAAAACACAAGCAAGTTTTGGTAAAATCCAGCAGTAGTATGATATCGGTGCCCTTGAGATTTCTGCTGCTATCCAACTATTTGAATTTTGTCCACATGTGAATTATGAACCCTATGAATCAATGATGGAGGTGGAATCATTCTCGTTATTTAGACTGGCATGGCAGGAAATCAGCTAGATACCACTGCAAGTCAGCCACACATGCCTAGAGACCAATTGGTAACCCTCTGGAAACTACAGATCGCTTGGGAAAATGTGTATCAAAGAGGGTGCTGCACCAAAAACCTCTTTGCTTTGGTTGCTAGCAGATTGCTAGTCACCTATAGCTTATCCGGGCATTAGATTGATATCTGGAACACTCCCCATCTAGTCGCTGAGCAGCAGTGAAAGTGGGAAAAAGGGTGAGGCAAAGTAAAAGCTGTGCTTTATTCCTTTAACCAACAGGTTTAAAAGGAGCAACTTTTACAGTTTCACTACTGCTAGGCAAGCAGTTAGGAGTGTGTTTGGAGACAAGCTGGTATCTTCCATGGAAACTACAGGTGACAATGGCTGCTTGCCGGTTACCAAAGAAATTACAAGGATGTGCAGGACTGTATACCTCTTTGCAACCAATGTCACTCAGCAACAGCCAGCAACTACTTGGCAACTGGTGGGGGATTTTTCTATTGCAGCCTGTGGTTGCCAGAGGGTTTCTGACCATTCTCTAGACCTGTGTGACGGTGGCCTATTGGAGAATATAGGGAACCTTGTATGCTAGAAGCAAACAACTACATCTTACTTGTAAAATGTGTGCGTGGTGACACAATGCGTGTCAATAATAAATGAATCCCAGCAGTAAGAATTCGCCTGGCATCTCTGCCAAATATTCTATGAATTATTGTGAAAAACTCTAAACACAAAGCACTTCTTGAACAATGAAACATAAGGTTAACATTTTAAAACAACACAAATGACATTCATTTTCTGAAAATATGTTCATGTCTCACTTTCAAAAATAAATACTGTGAAAAGAAGTTGTACACACTTTAATCAAAGTATAACACAGATCATCACTCAGTTTCACGAAATGAAATAAACCAAGCTAAATCACGTTCCAATTTAAAAGGATGCAGAGTGACAGATCAGACTCGTACTGATGGTAAAGCCCTGAATGTATGATCAACTGAATATCTGTGTAACAGCTGCACCAGTAACCATCAGTAAGAACTAAACAAAACACACTTTTACCTTTTTCCTAAGCAAGAAATGGCTCTACTGTCACTGTCACAAGTAATCAGCACTTAAAAAATATTCTAAATGAAATCCTAAATCTGGTGAATTATTTGTACCAAAAAGACTGGTATAAAAGGTGTTCGGTGAAGCCGTTTGACCATGCCGATAGACTGCCAAGAGAAGGTATTGACATTACAATAAAAAAGACCGCGCACACAACAGTCATTGTTCAGTACACTCTCTGTACAATATAAGCCAAGATGACTGCTGCCAGCGCGAGCCCGATCCCAATCTTCTTCAGCATTTCTCTGTCCAGACTATTAGATCCAATGGAGAAGGTGCACGAAGAAGGCGTGGGAGCAGAAAGATGGACGCCATTGACCTTTTGTTCCTGTGGGAGGAAAACAAGCAGATTAAAAAGAATCCCAACACAAATCAGAGAGTTTTTTCTGCACTATTTATAATGATTGGTAGTTTAAATGATTTAATTTTAGCATCATCTGTGATATGTGAAAACCCATCTCCTATGCAGACACACAGAGCTTGATACTGAGTTCATATCGTGTAATTCTGGTGGAATCATCTTTAAAATAAATCAGCTGGCCACAGTCACAAATCAAAGAAGGCTTGACAGCACAGTGAAAAAGATAAAGAAGAGCATTTAAGGACCAAACCCCAGCTGTCTTTGAGTCTATTCCACAGCACACACAAGCTATTTCTTTAAATATGACACTTCAGCCAACTAAATAATTTTTTAACTGCAGTTCCTGGACAGATGTGAGGCAAGCCCCAAAAGAAATATCAAAAAATAAAAAGAAATAAATCCATTCATAGATCATACGTGTTGATTACTGTGTACATTTTGAAATATATCTATGGATGCTGGCATGATGATAATGACAGGGATTTATCACTTCCTCTGCTTGCTCACTGCTGTCTCTTCCTTACACCTTCTGTCTCTCTCCATCTGTTTCCTCTCTAGAACTCAGTTTCATGTGGAAAGGAAAACAATAATAAAGTGAATTTAAAATGCAGTGCTTGTTTTAATACTTTGCGGATGAAAGCATTCATAAAAACTGGCCATTTGCTTATGCAAATGAGTGCATTTCAATTATGATGCTATTATCTCTGTGTAAGCAGTTAATGCAGTTTTGTAGTGATCCAATTACTGCAGAGTGCTGTCTATTGAATGGAGCTGATGTTGAGAAGGTGCACTGTTATGTAGTTAGAGAAGCCTGGATTGACATGAGGAAAGACGACTGATGTGATGGTGTTATAGCAGCACGGCTGAAGCAAGACTGTGATAAAAAGACAGTGACTGCATTTGTATTACAGTGAAATGATACTGCTCTGCTACAGCTATCAATTCAGCCTACAATATTAATATCCTAAAATAAAGAACAAAGCAACCTCCTAAAATCAATAAGAGGATGCAAATGGCTACAGATAGTGTTCTTCATCAGTGGCACATACAGTGCTGTATAATCAGACAATTGGCAATATGTTAGTAAATTTGATGTTGATAAAAATGGTGATATACTATATGGCTCAGACCTCAACACCCTAAACCTCTGGTCAACACAACTACTGCTACACTCAACCTCTGCGAAAACACTGATGATTGCAAGATGACAGCAGAGGAAACTTGTCTCCAAACAATCTCAGTCCAATTTGTACCAACTGCAATGAATCTGAGACAGATTGCCAACACGTTGCCATTAGTCTGAGTCAGCCTGCACGGATGAGCCCAACTCGTCACCACATCTCTGCAGCAGTGGACTCGACTTAGCTGGTTGCCAACTGGTTGTATTCCAATTACATTGCTATACAAAAGTAAGGTTGCCAAACAGTTATGTCATTTTGCAGTTAAACTGCTGTCCTGGGGTAACTAAGTCACTATTTGTGGGGAAATTAAGACTGAATACAAGTACTTAATGTCTCTATATAGACGGCAATAGATTTGCAAGTTTCACCAGTTTAATTAACTATATTATCACAGACAGAATGCAAAGAAATGTCAGCCTGACCACCTTTGAGTGGTCAGACCTGGTCCCTGTTGTTGAAGAAACCATTTCAAAGGTAGCAACAGTGCAAGTTCATTGCACACGACTGCAAAAGTTTTGGTCGTGCCGCAGTCTCCAACTACTGTCTGATTGTAGCATTTCATATTTTGGGAATGTTCATAAAAGGCGTTAATCCGTTAGACTGATTTCTAATATTTAAATATGTAATATATGTTCAGTGTGCAGTCCTTCATTTACATTTGTTATCTCATTATTTTAGTCAGGTTACCCACTCCTGATTCAAAGCATTTTTTAAAAGTTAGATTTAGCAATTTCCATGTTTGGCATGAAACATTTCAACAATGTGCATGATCATGTGACGTTCAAAAATGCAGTTTGTGGTGAGAAAAACATCAAAAACTCGTTTCAGGCCTTGATAGCTGTAATAATTCAGTTAGTAACACTGACTATTAATGACTAGGCCAATTTCTCCCTGGCCTCCACCCACCGTCATTGATCACCATTCTGTTTGATTACACATTTATACGATTTTATCGTGATGTATGAGAACGGAGACCTTAGGTGTGATTTGAAGCTAGGCTAATTAAATGATTTATAAATAAATAATCCTTCACGGTGTGGTACTTTTAATTTCAGCCTTAAACAAATTGCAAGAAGAGGAAGACGGGGAGACAATCGATCCAAATGTCCTTGTTCATGTACGTTGCTTTAAAATACGCCATCATCTTCATATTCCACGTCTCTTTAACACGTAATATGTGGTGTTTCCAATTTTCTGTACCTTTCAAGCTTTTGTTATTAGGCCAACAAAGAAAAATTCCAAAATAGACTTTACATACAAACATACTAAGATATTTTTACCCAAGGACTGAAAGCAAAACAATGGCAAACTTTGTTGACTACAAACACCTACCTGCATGTACACTATACATTCATATGAAACTGAGCATCGTTGCACGCCTACACGTCTTGCACGCACATGGCTGCGTGAGTGAGCAGCTGCACAGTGTCTTGTCCTCTGCCTCTCTATCCTCCGCATTACTCTCGCTCCCCTCTACTTGCTGGAGGTTGTGAATGCTACCTTGCCACCCACTCTTTTCCTGAACACACTGCCATGAATGGGTTCCTCTGTTACGGGCACACAATGGTGAATGGATACTATAACCGACAACGCCTAGGTGACACATCTCTAAGTCACTTACAGTAACTTCAAACAATGAGTCGAGAGAGAATCTGTAACAGTCGTCTAGCTGACGCATCAACATTTGCTTAATGTTAGGATCACAGCTTGACTCGCTAATGGCAAAGTGATACGCTGTTTTGTTTTTAAAGATGCTTGAAAACAATAAAGGTGCAAGACACACTTGCCACTGAGCCACTTGCCTCATGACTGTGAGAATTGCATCATGATGGATGAACCTCATTCAGATTTGGATCGCCCATCCTCTCTCATCCAGAACATCATATTTATAAAGTTCTTTTCTATGAAGATAAATGCTAAGTATTGTTAGTATGGTAATATAGTATTATTAGGGATAGTAGTGATAGTTTTGCGGTGCATACCACACCGGGCAGAGAGGCAGCTGATAAGCGTGTGTGCCCAAAAAACCCTTATCAATAAAGACCCATCACCTTGCAACGGCGGGTGCGTGGGTCATCCTTCTGTCACGGATAGGTTTTAAAAGAAAAGACATGGCAGATGAGGAAAAAGTTACAAGACAAAGTAAATATTTAATTACCACTGTGACAAAAGAAGAAGTTTATAAAGCGTAAAGGACTAATGCAAGAGAAATAAATATGCTGTGGGCAAAGTCCACCACCTTCTCCTCTATGCTTCTATTTATCTGTCTCTCTGCAGGTGTCTTTTAACAATGGGGTGCCAGAAGAGACACTGAACACTACAGTCGAAAATCTATTACTAGTAAGAGGGATAAGTGAAAATCCAAGTGCCAGTAGGTGCGTGTCAGCACAGTAGGAAGCAGCGGAGCAGAAGAGCAGAAAGGAGAGAAGGAAAAACTGAGAAGAAATGAGAAGCACAAGAACGGGAGCCCCCACCCCCAAAAAAGAGATGTGGCTTTCAGTGATAGTTTACCACCTGCTAGCTGGCATGCTGAGTTTGTGCATTTCTGTGAGAAAGACAGCTGGCATTTGTGAGTGAGTGTGTGTGCACATGTGGAGACCTGTGGTAGATAATGTCTGTCTCTCTGCTCACAGCAGTAAAACACAGCAAAATAATCCCCCTGAAAATCATCTAACACTACACCAGGAGTACAGACTGCCTAGCACAGCTAGATACTTTTCCCTCAAGGTCTAAGGCTTCTCAAATGTCTGTTTCTTGGAGAAAAAGAAAGAGAGAGCGAGCGGGGGAAAAAAAAGAAAACGAAAACTCTTGCTCCAGTTCCACATATGCACCTTTTTTAAAACAAAATCTGCCTGCGCGTCTGCTGCAGCCTTTGCCAATACACTGACATATTCGCACAAAAACACACACTGTGAAATGCACAACACATCACGAGAGCCAGGAAGCACAGTGCACAATGGTCACATTTCTCACATGATCCTCACCAGCTGTCAGTGTCACTCTAGACACACACAGACCATGGAAGTTGGTGCGTGCGCGTATAAACAGATACTGTAACAGGCTCCTTAGTCACGGCTGATTCAACAAAGCCATAATGACAATCACAGTGTGCTGTAGCTGTATTTACAACAGAAAATAGGGACAGTTGGGGAAAAAGGAGGAATTGCAAATTTTTCTTTTTCTCACCAAAAGGTCATTAATCTAAAACCAAAGATGGAAAGAGTGATTTACCCTAATGTATGAAAGTCTCAGGGCAGCAAAGCTAGAGCACTAGCACTATGCTCCTGAGGGCTGGCAGTGTAGTGTGACCCTCCTGCCTTTGCCAAGCTCCCAACCCCAGGGGAAACCGTAGTTCTTACTAAAAAATGTCTGCAAATCACCACTACTGATAAGGATGCTATTTCTTGACAAGCTTTCTGTAACTAAACTATCACTAGTCAACTTTTCGCATTTACTTCTATTCAAACTTGGTTAAAGTTAGCCATTCACTTTTGACATTTTTCCATCAATTTTGGAGGTTATTATTACTGATATCCATACTCTCTAGTCAAAATGTCATCATTTATATCAATAAATCAACTTTCCACAGTGGCTAACTGCACTTCAGGCCTTTAAGTGAGTACCACACTTAAAGTAGCCTTTGCCTCCAAAGGACTCTTGATGGACGATACATCAATCAGTCCATCAATTTATAAACTGCTTAGTCAACTCAGTGTTTTGTTAATTTATGCTAATCTGCCCAATTACTTTTGAGTGAACCTCTTAAGAAAGGCCTGAACACCACAA